TAGAGGGTATATAATTTTGGTAGGTGTAATCTGACATTGACTGCTTAGATGCTGTTATTTTCTAGATGATCCTCTGTGACTATTTGAGGAAGCATACTCTGTAGTGTCTAGAAACCTGTGTTGCTGTCTTATTTTTGTTGTATGCGTGTTGCTGTAAGGAGCAAGGTGCCGCATTTAGTGTGGTTACATCACTCTGTGTGTGTGTGTGGTTTTTTTTTTAATACAGAGATCTTAATAGTTTTATCCAGAAACTTTCCTCCTGATAGGAAAGTGCGGCAGTTTTATGAAGTGTGATAAAATCGTGTTTTATTGCACTAGACAATCTTGGAGTTCTAAAGTAATCTTTCTATATACTGTGGTAGGGTGCTTGTGTTGGGAACAGTGAAGTAAGAATTTCCAGTGTGCTCTTGTTACGCTGAAACGTTCATTTCTTAGGGTGACCAATGCTTCCTATTAAAACAACAAGATAGTATTTGTTAAAGGGCAACATGTGGTTACTAATCTGTTTGCTTTATCATCTTATTTTGAGGTAGGTTAAAGTACTCTTGTGGACAATTGATTGGTCATAGGCATAGCTGGACAGTTCTTGAATATAGCGATAGCCAGATGAGCTTGAGTCCTTAATGCCAAATTTCCTCGCTTTCCAAGACTGCACTAGCAGAAATTAAGGATTAAAAACTGGATGTTTAGGTTCTTAGCGAAAGCCTTAGGGAAACCCACAAAACGATTGCAGAGGCTTTTGGCTCTTCATCAGCTTTCTGTTAGTATTTCAATTTGGTGTGAAACCCTACCAGAGTGCAGGTATTAATGGAGACAGGGCCAAGACAGCTGATAACTTTATTGGTTAGATAGATTCCGATTTAAATTTTAAGTGTCATTAGATAGTAAAAATGAGTATACAGTTTTATGGAGGAATCTGTGTGGTGATTAGGTGTTAAAAGTGGTGTGTAGACAAGTCAGTGTGCACATAAGCTGTATTTTTTTTGGAAGCTTGACAAAACACAGCAGAGGCGTGCTGGTAAAATCGATATATGTCATGCATCTGTAACAGGTTTATCTTCCAGGTAAGTTTTAAGAAAAGTCAAAAAAGCTATTTTACTGCTCAGGTTTTAATTTTAGTTTCAGGTATAGTACAGACTTTATTTTTGTGTGTCCGTAACATTTTAGTGTCTACGCAAATGGGGTTACAGAAGATGTGAGGACATTTGTTGGATTAAAACCAATAAAAACAATCCTGGAAAGACCAAGACTCTAGACCCGAAGGCTGTTTTCCAAAGGACCAAGGTAAAGGCTTGGCTCAATTTCTCCCCTGTTCTCACCTTGTCCCTTTCTGCTAATCAAACACCAGATGCTCCACGGTAGTTGGTGACCTGCTTTCAGGAAAATGGACATCAGGGCTCCAAAGTTCTCGTCTGCAAAGTGTATTTGTATGGAAAAAAAAAATACTCATTGGATAGATGACGAACTTCTCTGTCCCTTCTCTGTCCCTTCTCTGTCCCTTCTCTGTCCCTTCTCTGTCCCTTCTCTGTCCCTTCTCTGTCCCTTCTCTGTCCCTTCTCTGTCCCTTCTCTGTCCCTTCTCTGTCCCTTCCTTGACTTTACTCAGTTTGATGAAGTATAGAAGTATCATCTGCATTTAACACTGCTGAGTAAATGTGTATTCTAAACTTCCATACGTGCTATTCATTTAAGCCTCGTTGAAATGCAGATAGCTGAAGAGGGTTTGTAGACTGCTGGAATGGGGTTGGGGGGATCCTGAGCATGGCAATGGAACCTTAATAGAAAATATTACTGTACACTGCCTTCTGGATTGTTTCAGTTATGGGTGAACAGTAAATAAGCAATTAGCCTATTAGTGATACCTCTTCTATAGCATATAAACTTATTTCTGTATTGGAAGTGTAATGTTTTTAGGGCAGGAATCCCTTTTGATTGGGACTAAATGGGCAGTAGAATTTGCCTGAATTTGACGTCAAAATAAATCTTTGAAACTGATGCAATTAAAAAAGCAGGCAAACAAAAAACAAACACAAAACAAAAAACACCACCAAAAAACACTCCGGAAGGCTAGCTAATGGTTCTGAATGCACGTGTGCAGATATGTGCACAGACCTTGAACCGGATAGAAGGCTGTTAGGGACATTGGATCAGTGGGTGTCTCCTGACTTCCTGAAGACGACTGTTACGCACCAGCAGCAGAAACAGCTTGGTTTAAATTAAGCAGTTTCTTAGGGATGTATTGTAGAGGAAATGTATTTTGAAGGAAGTACAGAGAGAAAAGTGTTCTGATTTACAAGACATAAGGTATGTTATTCATGCACTTGGAAAAAAGTAGATGGGAATAATAAAGAATTGTTTGGGGCATACGTGAATGCAACTGTGGCAGTTAGATGGAATACAAAGAGTTGGCTGACAATTTAATAATTTAATAATAATCATATTTTTATAATTTAAAATATTATACATATTAAATTATTAGATATATATCTTGTGTTTCATTTTATAATTTAATAATAATAATGTAATAATTTAATGGTCATTAATTCCAGGACTCATTCCGCATTCATGAATCACTTTAAATTTGTCAGTTTTTAGGAGTTCAAACTTCCCTTTAAGATATTGGGAATCTTTCTTTAATTTGCATTCACGTTAATCCAAAATTTGTTTAAAAGTTTGTTACATTTGTTGTAAACCTGAATATTGTATGTTTATCTGATATAGTATTGTAAATGTGTGCACCTTGCTCATGAGTAAGTGGTTAAATCTTTAATACAGCTGGGTTTTTTGTACACTTCATAACTTCATTAAAAGGGGATTGTTTTGCTTTCTGGTATTAGAGAATTTTCTGTTCACTGAAAAAAGGTTGGCCTGGGGTCGTTACTGTTTATGCTGAATGCTGAAAATTGAACTAGCTTATTTGGACTTAATAGAGAGCTCCATCCTTTGTAGAAGATGCACTTACCAGTGATTACAATAGCAAATGTTATCTTCCATGTTCAGTTTAGGCATCTCTCTAGAAGGAGGCTTTGTGCTCTGTGCCTGTGTGATAGTATCTAAGGTACCAATGAATTACGAAAATAGAACTTCTTGGGTAGTTCTTCTAAAGAGCAGACTTACTAGACTTTGCCTGATGGATAATTTGCTTAGCAGTGTTCTGTGTTTTATTTAGCTAAATTAAAGGTCTGACAACCCTGTAACTTACGTGTAGTTGATCAACTGCACGTATATTTGATAAGTCACCTTTTCTGCCTTTCATATTTATTCACTAACTCTTAAAGGCCTTGCCAAAAATCTGGAAGTGATTATGTACTCGTCTGCAACTTTCTTAGAGCCATCTGGTGATGCTTAGTAAATCATTGTTTTATGACCTAAGGAAAATTGCTCGTTTGAGCATAGTATTTCCAGAAACAGAACTCTGAAATCAGTATGTAGAACCCTCGTTTCATCCTGTACCAATTATGGTGTTTCCTCATTCATAGATCCTATATACTAGTCACTTCCGTTGATGCATAATGTTGCAGGAGAAAGGAAAGCAGTGCATGTTACACTTAAAGAACATTTTTAATGCTGGCAGAACTGACTCGGACCACATTGATACTTTGATAGTGATTTTACTTCTTTTTATGCTGTTGTATGTCCTAGAAAGGAATTTGGGGGCGAAGGCTACTTTCGTAACAGAGGTACGATCTGAAAAATGCCTGTATTAACAGTTTTACTTTGGCTGGCTATTTTATTACTGAGAACTTTAAAAATTATTTTTACGAATAATGTTCGGATCAGAATGCTGATGCTCTTTCTGTCACCTTGTACTCTGTCTCCTCTTGTGGTGAGTTCTCAGACTCTTTCCAACTTAAACTTCTGTAACTTTGTAGTAGCTGGAAGAAGTCCAAATGTCTTACTTCAGTCTTTAAATAATTTTGACTTTTAGCACTTTGAAGTGGGGGTCATCGAACCAGGTAACTTGAAGTAGTCTCTCTCCTTTGTTTTTGGAAGGTTTTCTTGGTGGCTTCAGCTTGTTCAAAATTTCTGTGTCAAAATTTAGACCGTTCTCTATATAAGGATAGGATTTAATCTGCCTAGAATTTGGTCTGCCTAGAATTTTCCTTTCTCTCCATGGTGTTTGAACCTCTCCTGTCTGTGATGTGTAACAGTATGTGAAGCACGTGACAGCTGCTGTTCTGTGTTTCATGCACGTAGGAGCACTGCCTCATGGGCATCAAAGGAACTGTGCGTCGCAGTACAGATGGTGACTTCATCCACGCTAACGTTGACATTGACCTAATCATCACAGAAGAGCCTGAAATTGGCAACATAGAAAAGCCTGTAGAGATTTTTCACATCATTGAGCATTTCTGCCTCGGACGACGCCGTCTTCATCTTTTTGGAAGGGACAGTACAATTCGACCAGGTAGTTGTTCTGTTCATTTTGTGACAGAATTAAATTTAAACTTGCTTTTCTAACCCTCTTCCATCACCTGAGGCCACTTGATGGATTCTGAGGGAAGGTGAGACAAAATAGTGCTTAATGTGCGACTCTCCTGTTCGCACTAGTTGCGTGTATGCTTTTAACTTAAAGCAGCACAGTATAAAGTACATTTCGGTTAGCTTTTTGGACAAGGGAGTTGCATGGGCTAGAGTGTTTGTCTTTCATGGTGATTTCTCCATAGTGGACATCTGGTAGGAAGAAAGAAAACATACTGAACAGAGAGATTTCCCAGATTTCCCTATCCTCTTACTCCCTGAGACAAGTAACCAGCCTCATGTTTGGCAACAGAGGAGGATTACGATATCACCGGAGAGTTCTCCCAACACCAGGATGGTATTGGAGAGGCTTCTGATGTAGTTAATACTCTCTCCCCCGTGGTCATATAGAACAGAAGATCTCTTGTGCGTGTGGTGTGTTTTTTTTTTTTTTTTTTTTTAGCCAAAAATCCCTATTCTGGGATGAATCTTCAGCCTAAGTTGTAGGAGCAACATATGGAGTCATCCTACTTGTGCATTAGAATTATGATGATGATTTCTGCTGTTACTACTACAGCAGAAGTCACAAATCCGGTTTACCATTGCCTAGTGTTAAGTTTTAATTTATAAATATTAATTTTTTGAGGTAAATATTTGCTCAAACAATAAGACCTCAAAGGCTTCTGTTTTCTGCGTATATCTAGTGGAAGGTAAATTTTGAAATTGTTCAGTATTCCAGTGGAATAATGAAATGTATGGTCTTATCTTTTTAAGGTCAAGTCCTGTATAAGGCCTTTCTAGCAAACTTTTATTTTTGGACTTAATACAGTAAACTCCATAGTAATTCTGAAAATTGAAATGTCTATTGCGTGCAAGGCAGGGCAGAGCAGCAGAATTCTCTGCTGGTTGTAGAATTCACGGGAGCGTTCTGAAGAGCTTCCAGCGCTATGCCGTAGGTCAGACAATAGATTTGAAGGAGATGCATTCTTAGTTTATGTGAATATCTGTCAATCACAAAGCAATGTGGTTTGGAAAGTCTGTAACAGCTGTCAATTTTCTGAGAAGAAAGTTCGTTCTTTTAGATACACGAATTGGCCAAAATATTAGTTAAATTCAGCAGTGGGTGTAGCAAAATACAGGCCCCTTCCCCCCTGCCGTCTGTGTATACTTTTTCAGAAGCCTAATTTCTTTCTCTAAACTTATTTTAAACCACTCTGAGCTGAGTGCTGGTCCTGTTTCAGGCATCTTAAACCCTGTCTAACGCTAAGATTGCTGCATCTGGCACGATAGAAAACCTGTGGAAATACATAGATCAGATGAGATGCATGGTGGTTGCATTCTGTGCGTTGGGAGGGAGGGAGGGATGGTTGGTCCTTTCAGTTTCTCATGTGTAAGTGATGAAGTAATTTCGCCATAGGAAAATACTAACTGCAGGAGTAAAATCTCTTCTGACACCTTTTAGGCTTGTGTATCAGTTGTCTGTGCTGTTTCTGCCCTAAAGCCTAATGTGAAATAGAACTTGACAGTCCTATTTTTTTCAATCTAAGAACGTTTGAATTGACAGACTCCATACCTAATGTTATGGATAGGGCAATCATACTTTACATGTAGATACTGTGAGTGCTGGTCTCTGAGCAGTTTACAATAACGCTGCATCCTTTTTAAAAGGAGAGTGGGGGAGGAAGGGATGGGAGTGGGGAAAGTGCTATGGTTGCGTTTGCTTTAGGTCCTTTTAGCAATTTTGTGTAACGCTATTTTCCTCTAATTAGCAATTGATAGTTTGGGTGATGAGGAGAAACGGGTACAAGTTCAGCCGTGGTCTGTTTTGCTGCCTGTGAGAGCTAATACTTATGCCATAGAAATTGTTGCTTATTCTTCTATTGCAGTTGGAATGGAATGTAAATCAATACAAAAGCTGCAAGCAATAAGTTATCTAAATCTATTCCAAGGTGTTTGAGTGTTTTCTCTTTTGTTCATAAGAAGTAATTATTAGCCATTCCTATTCTTTCACTGGCCTTTGGCTTGAATTTTAATGATGTCAGTCTTAATTCTGTTAGCTGCAAAGGCTTTTTGTAGAAGGACTTTTCCTGAAAGAGCATTACATACTTCAAATCCTATAGGTCCTTATAACAATAGCAACTTTTTTTCCCCCCCTTTTTTGTTAGTTCAGGAAGTTGGCAGAGCACAGCATTTTTATTGATCATCACCTTGAATTTAAAATTACTGTTTGCGAATGCTCACAGGGCTCTGAAGTATGTAAACCTAAACAAATAGACTCTTCCTTTTTAAATATGTGAAAAGCAAGGCAAAGATTACTTACGTTCCCAAGGCAGAGTACAGCGTTAAAGAACTGATTTGGGGGGGGAGGGGAGGTGGGCTTTTTTTTTTCCCCTCCCTTTTTGTATACTCCTTTTCCCTGTCAGCATGTTGTTGAGATCACTGAACCATACGTTTCTTCTCTAATACGTGATGTAACTGGAAGTTAAATTTCTAATGACGTGTGTATGTTTGTGTGTGGTCGAAGCACCGCTTCAAAAGCTGTTTTATGCCCAAGCCCTGTTTCAGTTCATTACATCGAGAAGTACATGATGTGCTTGATTTAAACACCTGCCTGATTTCAGTTCCACTTGGTGAAACTGAAGTGCCGACTGCATGTTTGCTTGTTTGTAGACAGGTTAGTTTAACTCTTAAGCTCTATCTTCATATTAAGTTGACTTCAGCAACGTTGCTATTTCATTTTGTTTTCAAGCCTGTGCTACGCTAGGCTTTGTTCTTGACCGTGCAACTGTTTTTTGGAGACAAAATTACCTAATCAAAGTTTAAGCCCCTTTTAAAAGAGAGGGGACAGGAGGAGAAGGGTGGGGTTTTCTGTTATTGTGTGTATTTTTGTTTTTAACAGATGAATTTACTGATCTGGTATGTAGCCCAGTCCCAAAGGGGCTGGGAAACAGTTTTGTGGCATCAGAATAAGTAGAAAGGAGGGGGAAGGTGTGTTGTGAAACTACAGCTTGAATGTTTCCATACCCATTTTTTTTTAGTCCTTACAAATATTGGACTAAAATCTTAACTCTTCGACAATTGTGGCATTTGTAGCAGGGAACTCTTAAATCTCACCGGTAAAGCTGGTGTTTATAGAATTGTCTGTTCTCATCACTTCACTGTTCACTTCCTAGGAAAAAGGCACTAGCAACCTGGGAACGTGAGGTTTGCTGTTGCTTTTTTTGACTTTGTTTGTATTCTTTAGGTTGGCTGACTGTAGGACCCACCCTCACAAACAGCAATTTCAATGCAGAGACATATTCTTCATACTTCACTGCTCCAAATTCCCACCTGACTGGCTGTACAGAAGAGATTGAGAGGCTTCGGCCCAAGTCACCACCACCCAAGTCCAAGTCTGACCGAGGAGGTGGCGCTCCCAGGGGAGGAGGAAGAGGCGGGACTTCAGCAGGCCGAGGAGAAAGGGGCAGAGAGAGGAACAGAACTAATTTCCGGGGTGAGAGGGGGGGCTTCAGAGGGGGGCGTGGAGGTGCCCACAGGGGTGGCTTCCCCACGCGCTGATGACTTAAGTAATTACTTCTTCCCTTGGTCGTATGCCTCATCTCTGAATCTTTTTTTCTTAGTCATATTTTTGCTGAAGTGAATTATTCTGGCAACTCAAGCTAGATGACTTTTAAATTTGTTTTTGGTGCAAGCATTTCCAAATGTTCTGCCTTCCCATGACTGGCCTGGCACGTCACCTCACTGAACAGGCAGGATCCCGCACTTGAACGGCGCTAAACTCGGCCTCCTGGCAGCTTCCATTCGTCAAAGCAGAGAGCCGTCTCTTCAAACCTTGAATAGGATGGAAGTGAAGATACTTGCTCTTTCCTTCTGAAACTTGCAAGTTCTGAAACTTGTGGGCTTTTTTAAACTATAGTTTTCTCCAAAATGTGGATTCTTCTTCCTTCTTTATAGGTCCAGGAGTGGACTGACTTGGATTAATATGACATAATGGGCATGAAATGCAGTTCTGAGTTGCATGGCAATAGCAGACTTATTCTCTTATTCACGGAAGAAAAAGTACTGTGTCTATGTTGACACTTATTTTAACTTCTCTTAAACCAAGGAGCAAATTGAATAAATAGAATTCTATTTTTTCCTTTTTTGGCCTAAATTTTCTAAATCATTCATGGGAGCAGGGAACAAATAGGTATGTCTCTGTTTATTTTTTCCTCCCTCCCTCCCCCCTCCCCCTTCATTCGTGGAGTGTATGCACTCACTTTTCATGTTCATAGTGGGGAGACTGGTAATTCTGTCCAGTCACATGTTGTGCTTCATGGAAAGCAGAAAGTTAGTGTGCATTTATATCCAGTCCAGAACTTCTACGTAGATCTGGATTGTTTCTTTAGTAGCGATTTTTCACCCAATGTCTGTTAATAACCTTGTTCTGTAGTAGGGAAAACCAGTTTTATTGCAGAGCAATTGCAATGTAAGTAGTAAACAGACCTTGCTGGAGGTCGTATTGGAAATGTGAGGAGATGTAACAAGAGGGAGTGCTTCCAGCATTAATGAGGGTGCCGTAATTAGAACTGAGTGTGTTTTGCTTTGCCTGTGGACCTTATGTGCATTGGAAATGGACTGTTGGTGATCAGCTCTGCAGTACAGTGTGTCTCAAAGTGATTCACTTTGGTATGTACAGTATTGGATTTTAGAAAAATAGCACAACTCTGAACTTCCTGGGCAATGCTTGGTAGACTAAACAAACCTGGCCATTGAAGTCCCAAAATCGTAAGACTGGACTTCAGAAAACCGGCTTTTAAGTCTCATGATCTTCATCTGTTGAAGCCTAGCTTTTATAAAAACTATGCTGTAAAGTAGTGAATTATTAAACTTGTTTATCAAAGCCAATATTGAGGTATTTTAATACTCTGTGGGTTTGCTCGCTGACTGTTCTTAAAGAAGGTTGTAGAATTGAGTAAGTTTTACTGTAATTTCCTGTCTACTGTTACAGAAGAGCAGACAGTAACTGTTCCTTTAGTGGATGAAATCTCAGCATGGAAGTTCATTTTGTAGGATCTGGTCAACTTCACAGCCTTTGGTAGTGTTTTTAGCAAGGGAGCGGTAAAGAGTAAATAAAACTTTTGCCTTTGGTTACATTTTGTTTCTTCCTGTGTTAGATCTGCAAAGTTGAAGAATGAATTGCAGTTTGGGGATGATGTTTTTAATGGTAGTACTCGTTTAACTGTCAATGAAGCTTGCCAAGGACTACTTGGAGCAACATTTAAAAGGATGTTATTTGTCACAGGAAGGAAACTTCCTGTTTTCTTTTGTAAACCATATTCATGTTATTAGTCAGAAGTAAATATTGGAGACACTTTGAGAAGAGGTGCTGTTTGGGCCAGTGATACAACTTTTTTTTTTTTTTAACTCCCCTCAGCTGGTAGATTCGGTCTCCCTTATTCTAATTCTCTGTCCATAGCTGATAATCCAGGGCTTGGACTACTGTTCAAACAGAAGATTGAATCTGCTTTTCGGTGTAGCCGGAACATAACTGGTTGAGATGTGCATCTGTTTCAGGGTTGCAGAAGTCATGATGCTGCTTGAGGCTTCAGCAAAATGCAAAATTAATTGCATATTGTCTTGTAAATAATCCGTCCTATTTGAACTTCCAGAGGAAGTTATGTTTCTGGGTTTTCCCTTAAAGCTGAAATAGCTGAACTAGTGTAAGGAGAACAAAAAAAAAAAAAAAAACCACCTGCTAGGGATAGTGTTAGAGTGCACCTACCTTTGGGTGGGCCAGCTACCCCCAAGGTCAGAGGAGGTGAAACGTAGGTGCTGATAACAACTGACTTGCCTTACTCTTTTTAATTGGGGTTAACAGGCAGGGAAATAGAACTTTCAGAATGTCAGCTCGGAAGAAAAGATACCTGCTGGTCATGTGCTGAAGCTGGTGCTTCGGTAATGATCTGGCGCAGATTGCCTATAAAGGTAAGACAGTCGTGCATAGGTGTGTGTACCCAAAGGCTTGATGCAGCGTACTTCTGGTTGTGGAGATGATGCAAATGATACTCTCACTCAAAATATTTTTTTCCACGTTAAACAATAAAAACAACCAGTCACGTTTTTAATCACTGTTGCTTTGGACCAAATCTGAACTGGTGTCTTGAGATGAAAAATTTTGAATTTCATTACTAGTTGTCAATTAATTTCTCAGTTTTAACACTTTAACTGTTGAGTAACGTGCTGGTTCATCGCTTGGTTTGTCCATTTAACTTGAATCGACCCTAGTCAAACAGCTTGAGCCGGGTCTTCTGCTGAGGCAGACAACTGCAGAGCAGCGAATTGTATCGATGGGCTGGCTACACTGTGGAGAGCTCTGCTGACTTGAGCAGGTGGGTTTGTCTCAGAAATTCACTTGTTTTGTAATGATGGTAAGACATGGAAAAAAAAATAATTGAAGACATTTTGTGCATCTTAAAGCTTTACATCTAAAACTGACTTGCAAAAATATTTAGGCTGTAAATAGGCAATACCTACTGACAGAACTGGTTTCCTATTTTCTTTCATATTATATAGTGGAGAGGGTGGATTTTAAGTGCTCGATATTACCTTAAGCAAGACATGTCTTACCTTAATTCTGGTTGGGTTTTGTTTTCTCTTACCTTCTAGCTCTCAAACATACTGAAGTTGAAGCAGTTTGGTTCCTTTTTTTAAATATCAAAGCTATTCTTTCCTCAAGATTCATTTATTAATAAAGTGTGGGCATTCTTCCTTTTTTTTTTTTTAAATTTTTTTTGTCACAAGAATAAGCTGGCATTCAGTCTAGCCAAGGCAAATAAATCTAGGTTGAAAACTCATGAAAACTTTTGATCTGGAAATGGAAGTTAAATGCCATTAAGTCAAGGGGTTACTTTTTTATGATATCTGAATATTCTAATACTGGGTAGGGGACAGAAATATCCAGAATGCACTCTGGAGACGAATGAATGAACATTTTAAGCTTATTACATTCAAAACGTCTATGATTGTTTGTTCCTTAGTCATGGCTTTTTAAGGGAGGGAGTACTGCTTGAGTAAATGAAGGCCCTCGATAATGGCACCGTTTCTGTAGATAGTAGATGGAGAAGTTCCTCCTCCTTACTTTGGTAAAGCTGGTGCCAGCTTTAATGCTGTAGTAGGATTCAAGATTTGTAGTTAGTGATCCTTTTAAAAGGTAAGATTAAAATCTAAGCTTCTGAAATGTGAATACACATCTCTCAGCGGTCTTAAGTTGCTGGTTATGCGCTCTGTCGTACTGATTGTCTGGTGCTCTCCGGAGCAGCTGGAAGGGTTGGTCAGTGATAGCTGTTCTTCAGCAGGGGGAGGTGATTGTCTGGGTTGCCCCTGCTTCTTAATAGGGGAGAATCCTGCACAGGCATTGAGAAAACCCAACCACTAGCAAAACAAGCGTTTCTGAGTTGTTTTGATATTGTCAAAAGTCTCAATGTCTTCTGTTTCTGAAAACTTTGCATGCATACTATTGTGTGACGTGTACTTCTGCCCCAGTGCAAAGGTAATTGAATGTTGATGTAGCAGTAGCTAAGAGACTTTTAAGAAATGCTTCTAGACTAGAGGTACTGTGATGCAAAGGCAACTAATTTGGAGCAATGGCTGCTGCTTTGCTGCCCTGGCTTCCCTTGCTGTGTCACAAGCAAATGCATTTTGCTTAGAAAATTCTGGCCTAGGTGGGAGGACCATCCTGAAATCTGACTGAGGAAGCCTATCAGAAGGTCATATGTAATCGCGTGAAGCTCAACTTAAGGCAGAGGAAAGCTTACTAATCTCCCTTTTACAATCGGGTCATTCCAATGGGTAAAAAAGCAGTAAATAAGTTCTGTGGTGAAACGTGATGTAATTTATAATTATTGGAGTATTTTTTTTTTTTTTTAAATAAACAAACAAGCACTTCCCTGCCCCATATAGTTGTTTGGCTTGGGTATTATAATGCTGCTGTTTATGCTGGAGATGAGAATTGCACTTGGGACGTGGCTGTGTGATAACCTCTGTGATTGCTGGAATCGCCGCTGCGTCAATGCGTGCAACTGTCAGCCAAAGCTGTGTCTCTGTGGTAGTAGCTTAGCCGTTATGACAGCTTAGTGGAGGTAAAAATAAATGTATGTAGAGGGCAAGTACTCTGATGTTTTTAACTATATAAATATAAATAGCTTTCTGTTACTACAACTTTGTTCTAAATAGCACTAGTGTACATGAAGTAAGGTCATGTTACAACTTTGTGTAGGCTTTACCAGTGTGTGTAAGTGATGGGTGCATGTTTCTAAAACGAGTATTAAACCCACTTTGTTTTATAGAGCTCTTTGAGGCCTTTCTTAACATGCCATATGAAATTATAAGAACTGCTTGGAAAGTAGCAAGGTTAACTAACTGGGGCAGCACAGAAGTGGGATTTGCATGCAAGTAACAGTGGCAATGCTGTTGTGCCAGTCTATTGCTACCCGCTTTGTATGTGTCAAAAGAAAGGAGTGAGATTTCACACTGCTTCTGATGGATCTCTGCTTTCCTTTTGACTTTTCCTCAAACGTTAACTCCCTTAATGTTGAAGAGTGTTGAGGTTTCTCCATCCTCTGGTGAAACAAACCTGGATGCAGCTTGTTGAACGCCTCCACAAAAAGGAGAATTGTGGCCCAAGAGGTAAAAACTATTCTGTATCTCTGCCTCTAGTCATCTAAGCAAATTTTTTTTTTATGAAAAAAGGAGATGCAAGTATCTGGAATCCGTGGTAAGTGTGTTTTGTTATTTTTGGTTGTTGCAATTGTAATTTTTGAGAGCTCCTTTTCTTTCCTCATGCCTAAAGTTAAAAAGCCATGGGAGCCTTACAGTTGCAAAGAAACTGTTGTGATATTCAGACACCCCAATCAGCCTAACAAATCGCTCAGTTGGTGCTTATCCCAAATTTCAGGGGGGACGACCAAAAGCCTCTCACTTGTTCATGTATTTTACCTATTTGCATATCTCTGCATGAATGAACTCACAATAATAAAAGAAAGATCTCACTGATGGAGGGCAACATAAAAACTGTCTTAAATGCATGATTAGACTGACCAGCCTGTATTGATTTTTAAGACTATTTAATCTGTTAAAATTAGATTCAAACACTGTAGTAACT